ATTCAGGTTGTGTTTTACAAGAGAATCAACAAAGTGTTCTTCACTGACTCCATTCCTAAAGCTCCATCTGGGAAGATATTGAGGAAAGATCTAAGAGCAAAACTAGCAAATGGATTGATCGATGAGCTAAGTTCAAAATGATCCAAATGTATTCTTATCAGACAAATAAAGGGAACAAATTTCGTTGATAACCAAAGGAAAGAAACTTACAGAACAATGTTTGCTCTAATTTCTTTGTATTCGTGTGATGCATAAAAGAATGTTTTTTTTTCTTTTTGAGAAAATAATAAAAAATTGTTGTATTTTTGCTTCTTTAAAGTTTTTTTGTTTGTTTTAATTTGGTGGAAGTATGTTATCTTAGACCATCATTATTGATGATTTTTGCTGGGTATCATTAGATATAAAATTATTAAAACACACATTTTCTCTTCCTTTTACTCAACTTTATACCTGCTCTTTCATACTTTTATTCAACTTTTATTAATTTTATATTTAAACACACTCCAACTAAAGTTTAAACTCTCTCCAAAAGTATCAACCCATTGATATAAAGACACCATCTCTCCAAAAGTATCAACTCATCTCCTCTTTTTACTCAAATTTTATTAATTTTATATTTCAATACACTCTATTATTTCAACCAAAAACACTCTCTTTTTTCCTTTTACTCAAATTTTAATAAATTTATATTTAATGATACCCACCAAAAAATCATAATAATGATGCTCTTAGTAAAGTATGACATGATACTATAATTTAGCATCAGCAAGTGACAAAATTAAAACCAAACAAAAAAGAACCAAAACAACATTGACCAAAGAGAATTAAGCATCTTAAATTATTGGAAAAACAGTCTTGAATGTCAAAGACTAGCGACGATAACAGAGAGAACATAATCCACATGATCATGAGGTCGTAAGATCTAAAATGCCCAAGTGTAAGATAGATGCCCAAGTGAAAGACATAAAATGATCCAAAAAATATATTTCATAAGCTTAAACAATATATTTAAGTAAGATTGACATTTTTCTGTTTACTAAGTAATTATATATATATATATTTGGATTGAAAAAATAAATCATGGCGCC